TTGTATGTCCACCTTCATATCTGTTAATCCATTATTCCGTTCAGATAACTCAGGATGTAGCTTCTATGTAAAAAAAAGAAGCATTGTTAAGTGATGGTAAACATTTTTTTTCTATTTTATTTCTAAAATACCTTAAAACTATGAAAAGTTTATGTTCTTTGACTTGCCTACAGAACTCAGATAACTTCCAGCAAGGATCTTTTCCTTTGGATATCTTTCTAATTACTGTCACTGCTGAATAACTGATATTACAGTGGTTTGAATTAACCATAAGAACCCCAGGACTGCCATCCTTTGAGACAGATAATTAACCACAATTTATTCTTGAATAAAACTTAACATTTGCCATAAAATCCCAGAGGCATATTTGTATTTCACAAAATCTTAGTTCATCACATGATGCACAGTGGAGCATATTTATTAGCATGGTCTACTCCAGTACTGCTACCTCTCACATTAGCGTGTATTTAGTAGGATCAGAGAGGACTTTTAGAAAGGAATTTCTCATGCAAGAATAAACTCTGCTTTAGTGGTAGATATGCTTCCTAAGAAGAAGGAAAAACAACAAACAATGTAAATACTAATAGGAGCAGAAATATCTGTCAAACTGATATTGAGTTACAAAACAATGAATGTAGCTTGTCCTTTTCATATTTTCAAGTGTTTGTGCATAGTTAATACAGTTGTTGAAATAGAAATCAAGTTAATTTTAAAGGCCAGATCTTCTATTGTTCAAAGTTCAAAGTATAAAGTGAAAATAAGTTTGGGCTTTTACTTATCTTCCAGGGTTTCTAGTTATCTTCTTCTCCTTGGTCTGTGCTCCAGGATTAAGTATGGCTTGTTCTGGTTCAGCCCAAGGTTCAGACATACGTAGAAAAAGATACCCTGTAGAAAATAAGAATATGTGGCTAGACTGAAAATATATTTGACTGAATATTGAAGTCCATGAAATTTCTTCATCAAAGTTTTTTTTCTCTGGATGAAGATCTTGTTCTTTTCCATAGAGAGTTCATTCTGGTACAGAAGTCATCAAGTACATGAGCACGCTGTCTCTTGAGATCAGAGATTAATCACTGGATTAAATACCTGATATTTTTTCAGCTGTGGCTTGTGTCCTTCCAGGATATATCTAAGCTCAGTTTAACTTAATTAATGTGTGTTTAGCAGCCCCTGATCGTTACCCTACTAGCTCATTTTCACCCTATTGTCTTGTCTATAGAAACACTCCTTGAGACATTTCAGTGCAGTCTGTATACAGCCTATTTTTTCTAATCTTCAGCTACTTCTGCAGTGCCTGGAGGAGCACAGGGGTGAGACTCCTGCACCCACACAGTGAGCTGGCACAAACCCCAGCCCAGTGGGACTCAGCGGAGAGGTCTCATGTCTGGTTCTGTCCCGTGCCCTGCCCCATGTGCAGCTCTGTGGACACGGGGCTGCTGCGCCTAAGGCTGCTTTTTGTCTCTGAGCCAGCTTGGAGACTCTCCACTCTAATCTCCTGTAAATCCGGCTCCAGGATGGAATGATGATCACTTGGTGGCTGCAGATTAACAGGATTATATGGCAGTTTATTTGGCATATTAGGTTAAATTCAACACAGGACTTGGATGGAATTAGAACATTCAAAACTGACTTTATAAAGACAAGACAAATTTTATTTTAAACTCAGCTGTGTGAACTGGATAGCCCTAAACACAGTACACAACTCTGTACTTGCCTGCTGTTTCTGTAGTAGCCATAGTGCTCAGTTTAGGGTGAGGTGATAGAAATAGTACCAAGTAGGAATCTGCTCTGAGCACACCGAAAAGCTCTCTAACCAGGTGCATTTACTGCATGTCTCAATGCAGCAGCTAAGAACAGACCTGACAAAAAGAGGCAGCCATGGACATGAGCTGGAGGAGCAGCTTCAGTAACCTCTTCACTGCAGTGACTTTCAAAGGCTTGCTCACCCCAGGACACAGGCTGTCGGCTGCTCTTGAGTGGCTGAAGGGATTAAGACTGTGTCACTCTGCAAAAGTCACACCAAAAGCAGTCTGTCTTTAACTCTGTGTGCTAAGAGTAGCTCCTCCAAGGCTCTGTACTGCAGTGCCATCAACAGTTATGCCACAGCCTCAAGCTTTCCTTTGGTTATACCTTTTCCCCTAATGAACCTCCTCTTCACTGCTGCACACTTGGTACGGTTTTTTCCAGGACAGGTTGTGGCAGTGCCTTTCCAAACCTCCACTAGTCTGAGCCTGATCTATAGGAACTAGAGGAACGGGACTGAATCTCCTTATGCTGAGTTTGAGACTGAAGCAAAGTTTCCCACTTGCTGGTGCTGTTACAGGGGATTACAGTGGCATTGCTAGAAACATTAACGCCCTGATTTTTTAGGGGAAAAACAAACAGGTGTTAGTCTGTTCCCACAAAGAATGGCAGCTGGTATTGTCCTCACAGCAGGTTTCTGAGCTGTAAATCTCAGAAGCTATATGTATGCCCTGATTAGAAGAGACAAGCTCAGCAGCACACTCTGTGACTCACTGTCCATGTTTGTCTTTATAATGTTTGCATGGTCCTGAGATGAAATCTCAGCAAACTCCTCATGGCTGAGCCACAGTCTTGAAAACTAGCACAGCTGTTCGGTACTTTCTGAAATACCTCACTGATGCTTTAGAATGATCCTGTACTATGCTAGTCAAGAAGTTCCAGCAGAATAAGATGGAAGTGTATTACATGACTGACTAACTGGGATTTGCCCTTTCTTCTTTTGTTTGTTTTTTCTCATATTATATTCTTCACCTCAAGTGCAGTGAACTCCCTATGAAGAAGCTCTTTATCTGCTGGATAGTGAAACAGAATGCCAAACCCGGGGTTTGTAGTCACTACTGTGTAAATATTTAATAGCAGTGATAATGGTTCTTTGGGAATAAAGGGTGTATCACCCATAATTGTTACTGGCATTGCTATTATGGTCTCCTGGATCCAAGCCAGGAGGTCTGGCAGATGCAGGAGGGAGCACACTTAGACCCTTAAGTGAGGCACTAATGTAAATACAACAGTGTGTCCTCTGGCACTGCCTATTCAAGCACTGTGTGGTCCCTTTGACTGGATGGTGCTGAGTCTGAGGAAGTTGCTGTGATTATTGTGAACCCAAGGTTGAATTCTAATAAAGTCCAGGCAGAGAAAGATACTGGTTTGAAAAGAGTTCTGAGTAAAACAACTAGATTCTGGAGACAGCTTTGAATTTACTAAATTTATTAGTATCCATGTACTAAAGCTGAAAAATGCAGAATTTCTTAGATGTGTCAATTCTTTAAATATTCAGCTTGTGTGTTCTTCAGAATGCTCTGTAAGGTAAGATCGAATGAAAAACAGCAAGTACAGAACTGAGTATTTCAATAAATAATAATTCTGTACTAATGTATTAATGCTTTATTTAAAATGCCTGTTCTGTTTTTCTTAGCTCAAGGCCTCTTAAGACTGGTGTTAGTGTCTTTCTAAGGCTTTTGATGCAGTGAAACAGACTGACATGAAAACAAATTAAATTAAGCAAAAAAATGCTTTTCTCTGAGGAATTACCTCACCGATTTTTCTTCTTTCAACTTTATTATACTACAATTAATGGCTTAATATTAAGGCAAGAGATTATCTTATCTGCTGTGCATTTCTTCTCCCACCAGCTGACTTTGTTCCTTACATAATATGCAGTTTATTCCCTCCTGAGGAAGTTAAAGCTAAGTACTTATCATCCCAGTGCAGGGAGGGAATGTGCAGGACATAGCAAGAGCTCTGTTGGGGAGCAGAGAGGTGTGTCTGCTGATGCGTTTGGTTACTGCACACAGGAGGGACAGAGTGAGCCCTGAGCAGTCTCTACCCCATTGGGAGGGCAGTCCCGCCTCCCCCGCCCCCATCAGCCATGCACTGACTGAAATTCCACTTGTGGGCAGGGGGGTTGGCTGTCCAAAGAGCCTTTCTGCTCCCTGGGAGGGAAGGAAGAGGATCTTCTCTTTGTCATCCCTTCTCTTGAGTGCCAGCACAGCAGAGGATGCCCAGCAACCCCCCGTCTCTTTACTGATTCACAAAAGGTTTGTTTTTATGGGGAATCTTCTGACTGAGAGGAGTCTGTGCATGTAATGTCACAGCCTTTATCTTCTGGAGGAACTGTTCTGTAACTATGGCATCCCTTGGAGGCAAAAAAAATTATTTTGTGCTTTCTTTAATTGATGTAAGTATAGATTAATCATATACTAACTTAGCAAGTGGCTTTATTAAAAATAATTTCTGTCTTCAGGCAGTAGAGCTCATTATAAAAAATAGTAAAAAGCTCATTATAAAAAGGAAATAAAAATTCATGGGCAGTTTCAGCTTCATGACACAAAATCTGAGTTGTAAACTTGGGGTCTGACATAAGTATTCTAACCAATATAGAAGGGAACAAACTGGCAACAATAAGATCCAAAGAAAAGGTATGGTGGTTTCTCAGAGTGTGTAGTAATTTATGTGGAAACTCATAGCAGATAGAGGGGGACTCTTATATCCTTGTTTGTTGGTATTTAAGAGGGATGAACAAATTTTTATGTTAATAGGATTTTTTTCATTCAATCTTATGGGATCTACTCTGAGTCAGTTTGAGTTTGAGATAAATACAGTTTGATAACTGTGAAGGATATTTTCCTTGCACCATATCCTTCTTCACAAAATAAATTAAGACATTCCTTACTCAGCCAAGGGTCGTAATTCTGTTTTACATATGTTACTTATGTTGAGGCAAGGATTTACACTCATCTCCTGAAAACACTGAGAAGTACTGCAGGCTTAAGTTGAGGTTATGATCCTGTATCTCTTTTTATCCATTATCTTTTTGAGTCCAAAGGTAGAAGAAAGTCATTCATAGAAAGCACCCTTTGCTTAGGCACACAGTGTGAAAGGCAATCAAAGATCACAGACTGCCTCAAGTCAGTCAGGCATATCAGAGGAACAAACCCATCTCTTTATAATAACCTTCATCATTAACTGATTTGGAATAAATGGAGAAGAATATATATACCAGTACCCAACACCTGTAAAATACTTTCCTCCTGCAAGCACTTTTTGGATCATCTGTCCTCAGAGGTAGGTGACAATAACTGGGAATACCATAGACTTTCTTACCTGCTTGCTTTGAATTTTGTTTCTGTGTTTCTGTTCTTATGGTTCTACTGCTCTATGGTCTAATTGGTTGTCCCCAGTCTTTTGGAATGCAAGATAATGGCTTAATTACCAAAATTCTTTACTTGGAAATTCCATTTCCACTAAGTCATAGAGTTCAAAACTCTAAGGCTGATAAATTCAAGTTAGGCAGGTCAAGAACCTGGTTTGACAGCGGGTACTTCCCTCTTGTGCTGGTAGACTCTCCTAGTGAGTGTATTTCATGCTAATCATAAGAGGATGAATCAAAATGAATGCAAAATGTGTATAAAATCCAAATCCTTTAGTCTCAAATACCTGTGATGGTTGGTCTGACCCACTCAGTCCCACTGTCAGGGAACTGGAGAGCCAGCTGATGACAGGGTCTGCATCCCTGTTTGCTCCTGAAGCAACCTGATACCTCCCAGGCTCCTAGTCCAGACAAGATTGATTCTCTCCCTATAAACCCCTAGTTCTAGTCTCACTAACCTCATATTTCTGCTCTTCATGTGAGGAAGGGTTTTGTTCCTCTGCCTGAAGGTGAGATTTGCTCTTTGTTGCTCAGTCACAGTGCTGAGGGGGCAGGGGTAGAAGAGGAGGAAGCTAATGGCTGTATGGAGAAAACAAAAATTGGAAAAAAATCTGCCTCTCAGTTCTCATAATCTGGAGTATGTATAGTGGTGGTGTAGTGGGTTAATTTTGTTCTGTTTTGTTTTCCAAAACAAAATATTCTAAATAGCACTATGCTAAAAAGTGGAGTGGCCCTCCCTATCCATTGCCACATCCTAAACACCTGCTTATCTCTGTTCTTCAGGGATGTGTTTCCCAGCGAGTCCCATGTTATAGAAACAAAAAGTCAAATTATAGGTACTTTAGTTTTTACATATGTATAGGTACAGCAAATCACTGAAGATTAATTTACAGTCCTTCTTCAAAGTAAAAAAGGGGCTGATAAGAAATAGAAATTAACTATTTATTTCTGCCGCTAGTCTATAACCCAAACTGCTTAAAGGCAGTTAATCTCTATTTCTGGATTTCCAGTCAGACAAAACTAGTCCATGAATGAGAAGGAAGAAAATGGACAAGTAAGGGAACAAGGGGTTTTCCCTCTTTTCTCCACTGCACTGAAACAGAGGATCCTACCAAGGGATGTGGCTCTCTCATGGCTTTGTTTTAGCAGATAGAAGTTGTTCCTCATTCCTAAACTGTGTGTTACAGTGGAGGGGGAAATTAAGCTTTTGGCTCTTACTAGAATTTTACTGGGAAGAAATTTTATGAACAAACATCACAGACAATGGGTAGAAGGAAAAGTAGTAGAGATTTGTTTAGAAAGGGAGTTGTCAAATCGGCTTTCTCTAATTGCAAAAGGGTTTTGAGGTGTGCCACAAAGTTTGGGGAAGATGTTTGTTACTGTTCCATTACTTTATTACTACTTCTTAGTTTACAAATTGGCAAGAATCTTTTGTGGTCATACAACAATGATACATTCTAATTTAAGTTTAAAAGGAAGTACAAATAAGTAGTATTGGAAGCTACCAGATTTCCAGCCAAAAAAAAAACCCTTTAGATTCTGCAATAGGAAGCTGTTCCAGTACAAATCTTGATTGCAAACTTTTTTTAAAAGGATTTTAAAAAAACCTATTTGAGCTCTTGAGCAAGTGAAGTAGATAGAATGCAATCATAACACAGAGCCAGGAAAATTTGAAAGGAGTGTATCAGCTCTTAGATTTGGACAAAGAGCTTGGAGTCATTCTCCACTGCTACAGAAACTGAGTTATTTAATTTCATGCAAAAAAAACCTAGCAGTAACTTTGAAGAAAGAAACTGTAGTTAAAAATGTTTTGTCTGCCAAGCTGTCAGTATTTCAAGGCAGTACCTGCAAACATGAAAGAACATGTAGAGAAGAGGGCAACCTGAAAGTCACAGCCAGATTCCTCCCTCCTTGGATTTTTGAAAAAAAAGTTAAACCACATGTGATCTAAGGCTGTGAGATCTTCTCAGTCTCCACAGTTGCTTGCAGTTGTCATGTTATCATGTAGATATTAATTGCTTTCATATCTACAGGATCCCTCACTTTGTGGGAATTTGGGTAGAAGAATTTGTATCAGTAGTTTAGATCATTTCAGCTTAGAGGCAACAGTGAATTAGGATAGGTTTGGATGGTCAGTGTTCAAATGCAGTTGGTATCTTCTCCATGTTTGCTTTCACCTGAAGCTTACCACAACAAAAGTGTATCCAAGTTATCCAAGGAGTAAGATCCAAGTAACATCTCATGTAATCTGCTGCCTCTAAAATCTGTGGTCAGTCAGAGGCTGACAAACAAGACACAAACAAGTCTTGATTTGGCCAGAGAAGGCTGTGGCTTCCGTGTAACAAAGTGTACAGGCATGAGTCAGAGCAAAGATGTACCTGTAAATGTGGTGCAATCTAACCTCTGATTTGAGAGATTATCTTGTCCTTGACATATCCTACCCACAAAAAGGATACTAGACCTTCACCAGCTGATGTAGGTCAGGACAGAAGTCACTAAATGAGGCCTGAATGCCATAGAACCTGATATGGTACACAGTCTTTGGCTCTTTTATCTGTTGTGGATTTTCAGGTAAAGAATCAGCATACAGTAATATCCCCATAAAGAGATAAGGAACAGCACACCATGTATTCATTCCAGCAGGAACTAAATTACTTACACACAGAGAAAGGAGTTGAAGAGTTAAAGCTAGGGTTTCAAACAAAATTGAAGCTGCGATAATTGCAGACAGCAGGATATTGGGGCAGTGCTTTGTGCCTGGAGGGAAACAAATATTAATCAAAATGATCAAGAGACAAATCAAGCCACAAGGATAGGGAGGGCATGAGGCAAAACTGAGCCTCAGATAACACCATGTTATGGTGTTGCAGAAATAGGAGGAAAGGCAAGATGGGGAGAGCAGCTGAAGGAGTTTCGTGGATCAATTTCTTGCTTCAGCTAAATCATTTGAGGGGTAGACAGGAAATGATAGTAACAGAAGAAGAGGAGAATGAATGGAGAAGATCACAAAAATTTTCCACATTTCTGTTTCAAGAGAAATGCAAAATCTCTTATATGTGAAGATTACAGCATTTACCATACCTTGCTGCCCTGAGGAGTGTTGAGAGCATATCAAACTACAGCTGACACCAGCATTTAACCATTTCAAGCAGCTAGATATATTCAGGGTGTTCCATGAAAATAACATATATGTTTGTAATGTATGAGCTCACGTGTCCACCCTATGCAGCTTTGATGGCAGGTCTTGTAGAGAGAAACTTTACTGTGGTATGTCATCCTTTTCCTTCCTTTGAGACAGTTAGAATTCATACAGGAGCAAGAGAGACTACATGAAATGTTTGCCTACCTTATTCTGGCACACCAGCTGTGTCTCACAGGCTGCATAGAAGCTGCAAACCTCTTTTGCAACAGCAATTACACAATTCAGTTTTTTAGTGTTGCTGCTTCCCTGGGTTATGTTTTTTGCAGTCTAATGAAACAATCAGGCAAGTTTAGAGCTGTTAATTAACTTCATGTGAATTGATTTTCTGAAGAAGGTGAAATATCAAACAGAGTCTGAGCTAACTAGGGAAACACTGTCATGAGTTTCAGTTTATACAAATTCATGGTGTTTCCCTCTTCCGTGGTGATTCTTCTCTCAACATCTGTTAAAATCTTGAGTACAAAGTTGGAAGAACTGAAATCAGTGACATTATTATCATGTTTGCTTGCAGATTATTAGCTTGCTCTCACACAGCTGATAAAACAGTAATGGTTCTATTTAAATGTCATATCATTTGTTGATAATCAGTTATTAAACTACTGGTGGTTATTTGCTCTCACAACTTCTGCAGAACACCATATGATGCCTATTAAACTGTTTTGTCTGAAGCTTAAATACCACACAGAAGATTCTTTCAGGGACAGGATTAATTATGTTGTCTTCATCTCACTAATTGATACATGACGTATTACGGAACATCAACAAACTGTTTTAGAATTAACCATCTATGGAGCAGACCTCACAATTGCATTTCAGACAGTTTTATGTTCACAGTTTAGCTGTCAGGAGAGTGGGGAAAAGAAGAAGAGAAAATATGCCTAAGGCCAGAGGAGGATTTTACTCTGCCTACTGCTAAAAGCTCTCAACAGTTCCTATATGACACTTTCTGGTTTTACTGCTACAGTTACCTGCCTGGCTGACCTCTTGTTTTTGACCAGACCTTTGACTATTCACTAATCGAGAATCCACTCTATTTTACAAAATAAATGAAAGGAAAATGTTAATGAGTTTGCCTATTTCCCTTGTGCCCCTCCATAGTGAGATTTGTGTCATGGTATTGCAGCTGTTTGTGGGGCTCCAGAGCACACTCAACACTCATGACGTGCACAAATCTTTGCTGTGCAATGTCAGTGAACAAAAACTACTCTGAAAGCCTGATGTGCACACTCTCCTCTTGGAGAGGGATTGGGCAGGGGGAAAACGGGAGCAGGCATGCCAGACACTGATGGTATATAACACCCTGATGGATTGTATTCCTCAGCCACAAAAGTGGGCAAGTACAAGATTCTCTATATTTTTGCTTATAACAATATTTCTTTTTCCTGGACTTTAGAAATAGACCATCAGAAACCTGTGCCCCTTTCCTCCAAAAACACTACAAACCTGTTGTATCACAACTGAAGTAAAAAGAGCATAAGGAGTCATCAAATAAGATGGGAGTGAAGGGGAGAGAACTTTAATTAAACCTTTTCTGTAAAGGAAATAAACTGAGCAAGGAATTTTTTTCAGAAATGGTGAGAGGATTAAAAATATGCAGAAAAAAGAAATTAATTAAATATTGTCCCAAAGGCAAACTAATAACTCAGAGTAGTCTGACAGAAGTCCAGTCTTCAAGATGCGATCAACTGCCTCTGCTCTTCACTTCTTATTGCC